AGGGCGAAAACAACTACTCCCAATTCCAGATCATGTGTTTGGTAGTTCGCCTCATGAGGATTCAACTGCCTTGAAGAGTAGGTGATAACATGCCCTCTCTGCATCAACACCACACCCAAACCTAAAGTGGACGCATTGCAGTATACTACGAAATCCTCCACTCCATCTGGCATGGCTAGGATCGATACCTCGCATAGTCTCTGTCTCAATGTCTCAAACGCTGGCAACTACTCAAGCCCCCAACGAAAGACAACGATTTTCTTCGTCAAAAGGGTCAAGGGTTTGGCTATCTTGGAGAAGTCCTAAATGAATCTCCGGTATTGGCCTACCAATCCAGGAAACTCTAAATCACAAATGGAGACTTCAACACTTTCCATCTCATCACGGCCTCTACTTTGGCTAGGTTGACTAGAATATCGTTCTGGTTGACAAGATGCCCAAGAAACTGCACCGCATACAACCAGAACTCACACTCGGAGAACTTGGAATACAAGCTCTCCCTCCTCAATGTATCCAAAACCTCTCGCAAGTGCTCCTCATGTTGATCTTGTGTCTTGGAATAAACCAAGATATGATCAATAAAAACTATCACATACCGATCGAACATCGGTTTGCATACATGGTTGATGAGGTCCATAAACATAGCAAGAGCCTTAGTGAGCCCGAAGGTCATCACCAGAAACTCATAGTGGTGATAACTAGTCCAAAAACTAGTCTTTTGTACATCCTCGTCTCTGACCCTCATCTAATGCTAGCCTGAACCCAAATCTATCTTGGAAAACTAGGAAGCCCCCTGTAGTTGGTAAAAAAGATCATCAATCGTCGAGAGTGGGTAAAATTTCTTCACTGTTACTTTGTTCAGTTCCCGGTAGTCTATACACATCCGATGCGACCCATCTTTGTTCTTTACAAAAAGGATCAGGGCTCCCCAGAGTGAACTGCTCAGCCTAATGTATCCCTTGCTTAATAGCTTTTGAAGTTGTATAGATAGCTCCTACATCTCAGGAGGTGCTAACCGATATCGTACCATGGCTATCAGAGCCGCACCAGGGACCAGGTCGATCCTGAACTCTACCTACCTCTCCAGAGGTATCCCACATATCTCCTCTTAGAATATATATGCGTACTCTTGTACCACTGTTACATAAATCACAGTCGCCTTAACCACCTCCCAAGTATCCATAACTTACGCGACATACCCTAGAAACTTGTTGAAGGTAACGCCTAACCCTAGCAGGTGAGCATAGAGCTGGCCCACGTTGTGGCCTTTCAAGCTAAATCACCAGCTCTCCCCCCCCCCCCTTAGGGTCCTAACACGTACTAACTACTACACACAGTCGATCACTTCCCTGTAGGGGGCTCAACCAGTCCATGCCTATGATAACCTTGTTCCCATGCGAATGAATGGCAACCAAGTCTTCTGGTGCTCATACTGATCGGTCATCAGCAATCTCGACCTCTAGAGGGAAATTCAACATGTCCGAAGACTAAGTAAACCTATTGCTACGTACACGAGAGACAAATGATCAGGTAGCCCCCGAATCGAATAACACCTGCACTGGGACACCGTTCATGTGGAATGATCCTAAACAACACGTGAAACATAAACATAAATATCATAAACAACACACAATAAGAGCAAGGGATAAAAATACATACCCATCACCACATCGGGTGCATCACGTGCCTCCTTAGTGGTGAAGTGGAAGGCTTGGCTCCTCACCACCATAGTATTTGTCTTGCCCTATTAGCCATCCGTAAACCACATGGTCATTGGAGCTGGCGCTGGAGCTGCTATTAATCTCGGGTAGTTAGAATTTTTATGGCCCTTGTGATTACAGTGAAAGAAAATCAGGTGTAATGTCTATGATGTGGGGGTATAGGCAGTAGAATATTTGCTAAAGTTCCTGGTCTTGCCGCACTTGTAGCAGCCCGATGATCCCAATCTACAAACCCCCTCATGGGTCTTTTCGCACTTTCCATAGTGGCCCCGGCCCTGTTGGCCCTTTGGCCTAGTGTTGGATCACTTGGCTTCATCCTTGAAGCCCCAATAATATGTCCATCTCTTGCATTCCTCTTCCTGAGGTGATCTATATCAATCTCCCTCTCCCTCTCCCTCGTGATCATGTCATCCAATGTCATACATGCCGAGTAGCTGACATTTTTCTAGATGTTAACTCTCAACATGTCATGATAGCAGGTCTTCCACATCTTCTCATCCCATGCATACTAAGGCACCAATAATGTCCTCTCCTAGAACTTGGCGGTAATTTCCACCATGGTCTCAATAGTACGTCTCATGTTAAGAAACTCCCTAGTCAGCTGTTAAAGCTCCACAGCAGGTGCAAACTCTGCCTTAAACCGGGCCACAAAATCTGGCCAAGTTATAGACTCAATAGTTGAGGCTCCCAAATAATCACTAACTGACTCCCACCAATCTCTAGCTCTACCCTCAAACAACCTGCAACATACTAGACCTTCGACCCCTCAGGGCAGAAGCTCGTCAACTAAGCAGACTCCATGTCTGCAATCTACCTCCTTGCAACAAAGGGGTCCTTAACCCTATGGATGTCTAGCGCACCACATCCCCTAAAGTCCTTGAATGAGAGTGTGCAAATCCCTATCTGGACAGATGTCATGTCGCTCTTGAATTCCCTAAGGCGATCCTCCATCAGCTCGATAATCCCCTCCTTGATCAACCCAAAAATCATTGGGGTCGCCTCAAGGATGCCTCTCATGATCACTGACGTGATGAACCCGCACAATCTCCCATCATTTGGTTCGGAACCTGAACTCGAACTTGATCCTGATCCCGATGCTCCTACTCCCTGACACATAATTTTCAACATTCTGAAAAAAAAAACATACAATTTTCATGGTCATACATAATCGCGAGGGATCCTACACACTTTACAAGTTCCTTGGTTCTACCTCGTCCCACCTTGACTTGACTATGGAACCTCTGCTTTCAGTAGTATGGGCCCATAATTCCTTCCACATCTATCAGTACATTACTCAAGGATTCCTTCGCCTTCACGAAGTCCCTTCTACTACTGTTGCACTTTGTACTAATCTCATCCTTGGCTTACCGTAGGGTAACTCTCCAACCCACTCTCTGCCATCAGCTGTGTAAGAAGTTCCTACTACGTTTACTTAATTAGCTCGCGGATACTATTACATATTACTAAGACCAGATAATTCTTCCAACAAGAGGTTCTGTCCCACAACGGTTAGACTCAAACGATAGCAGCGAAATAGGGCTAGACCTAACTTTCTAAAATTGTTTAGTCTTCATAATATGTAATGTAATGTATTCATTTACTAGTTACCTAAAGATAGATAGGACTACTAACAGCACAACGCAATGGCATTCGGTTGTTGAGTAATCCAAACCAAGCAAATCCGATCCATGTTATCATATCACTAACTAATCTGTACTATCATGCGGCTCAATAAGCACATATCAGGCGTCTTCCTAGATCCTTAGCCCTAACCTAGCATGCAGTTCTCAATAAGCACATATCAGGCGTCTTCCTAAATGCTTATCCCTAATCTAGCCTGTAGTTCTCAAAATCATATCATATCATAACATAAAATGTATGTGTATCTTCAGGAAAACTTACTTGAGCTCGGCCAGTTGAACGCATGACACACCTTGTTCTTTCTCAAAAATCTTTACTTTAACTTTTGTAAAAACTATTTTCTGTGAAAATATTTCAAGCCCTCGATTTGAGTCCAGACACTACTTGAATTGTGTCTGAATACCTCAAACCAAGGCTATGATACTAACTTATAATATCCACTACTAGAAAAATAGCCTTTTACGACGCGCGAACCATGACACGCAGTGATTTATGATACTTAAAGGTGAGTGTCTAAACAATAATGTCATCTCTTCCAAAATTTAAAGGATTTCAGACGCGCATTTTTGCGTGCCCTAAAATTAGTGTCTAAACAAAAAAAAAAAAAAAAAAAAAAAAAGAAAAAAAACATGGAGGGCACCTGTGTGTCGTCTACGATCGTCGCTTTATAAATTTTAATAGAACGCGTGCGTTCCATCCGGGGAAAATGAAATCCCAAAAACATAAAATCCCCGCCTTCCTTATTTTTTCTCCCTGCACTTTAATTTCCCTAGTAGCTAGGGCTTTTTATCAAGAACTTTCCCCGATTGCCCTCTTGTACTGCTCGTTCTCTCTTCAACTTCCCTTTCGCTCCTTCTCACTTCGACAAACCCTTTCTCTTCTTCTTAGTTCTCGATGTCGACAGCTTCTCCCACCTTCGACGTTTCTCTTGGTGTTGGCGCCTCCCACCTCTGGCCTCCGTCTAGCCTCGCCCCACCGTCCAACGCTTTCCAGCGTCACCTAGCCGATGGAGGCCCTCATCTCCGGCAATCTCACCTCGCCTGCCCTTGCCAGCAACATTAGGTCTGGTGACCTTAGGGTTACTGCTTCTATTGCTCAAATTTACAAGCCCTATGTCTTATTAAGGTATGTTTTTCTTGATTCTAACTTCTCAATGTTTTTGTTCTTCTATAAGAACCCTAGCTTTGCTAAATCTCTTTTTCTTTCCGGCTTAATTTCTATTTATTTCATTTACGATCGAAGGAACAAACTTCCAATATCTGGTGAAACTCACAGTTGATGACGTGTGATTAGGTGAAATAATCGACTAGGGTTAACTAGGAACAAAGACACATGGAAACGGGAAAGGGGATGAAAAAGAAACACACAATATGTTTGATTTGGTGAAATCATCGGTTTTGGCAATTTTCTTGCCATCATTGGTACTACCGGAAAGCTTAGTTAGCAGGAGGAGTCGCTTCACTTTGGCTAATGCAGATACAACAGTCTCTGCAGCATCAATGGAAAATGATGTTTTGGCTAATTTGATCAGAGGCTTCACATCCCCTTCTACAATATAAGAGATTTTTTTCTTGGACAAAGCACCCAAGGCTCGAGCTGATTGAGTGGAAATAATTTGAGTGTTGCTTGTTAAAAGCTTCAACAAGGATGCACAACCTCATCAGTTGCAAGATTATCACATATATCTTGATGAATGCTGAAGAGGTCAGCCAAGACAGAAGCTGCATGTTCCTGTGTTTCCTCATTTGAAGAATTAAGAATCTGAACAAGCGATCTCAACCCTTTATAAGCATCTGATCCTTTTTGAACAAGGTCATAATGTGATGCCATGGTAAACACATGACCTAGTACTTCAATTTTGTGGGCTTTTGATTTTGGGGTGTCCCCCCAAAGCAGAGCCAGTAGCTGATTAATAGTGGCAGCATCTGCCTTGCGTATAAGCTTTCTTAGTGCCTTCCCTGAGGCTTCTTGTCCCTTTGTTCCACCAGTTTTCAAGAACCATAGGAAAACAGGAATTGCTTCAACACTTTCAACACATGCATATATATTTTCACAGTGATAGCGTAAGTTCCACAGAACATAAGATGCATCATCCCTTGCTTTATCAGATCCATTTTCTAGTAAATGTACAAGTGGCGGAATACCACCAGCAACAGTAATAGCCCACTTGCTATCGTCTATTTGTTCTGTCACGAGTGCAAGCAGCCAGACAACATACTCTTGATGCTCTTCACTTAATAAACCTAGAAAAGATATAAGTAACTGTATTCCCCCTCTCTTTCTGATGGCTTCCCAAATGTCCACTACACCACAGCATAAACTTATCGCAGAGGTTATCAGATACTGTTGCACATTTGATGATGTCATTGTTATAAGCCCGATTAACACCTTCTTGGCTTCTGATTGATTAAGACTTGTTGAGAGGCAATCATTGCTCCGATTAACTCAAGTATACATTCCTCGACCAAATTATTTTATATCTGTTTGAATTCTTTGAAAAGTTTGATGTTGTGTTTATCAGTTGATGCTTACTTACTACCAAATACAATGGTGCATGCATCTTTTAATTGGTTGTTGGTTTAAATTTTATTTTATTTTTATTATCATTTTCATTTTAAATCTTACTAGCTTTTAATCTTTCCATCATGACAAGAATTTTGTATTGTTATCTTGCTGATAGGTCCAAAGAAACTTGAATGGGATTGGACCATTATGCTTCCTGATTTGCTGCTATCAATGGATGTTGTGTAAATCCTCTTAGAAGTCTTCATTTTGGTTTAAGAGAACAAGTTGGAGAGTCTAAAAAGAGACAAGTTAGCAACAGAGAATCTCCTCCAAGAAACAAGTTACAACAGAGAATCTTCTTCCCCTTTGATCACACTTTACATAATCACTTTCAATAATATTATCTTCAGTCTTCGTATAGTTTCTTCATTATTAATTTTTCTGGAATCTTTTCTAGGTAGTCTTTGGTAATGGAACCGTGGACATGGTGCTGGTGGTGGTTATCGTGGTGGTGCCCCAGTCAACCAAATCCAAACCTTAATTTAGCTGCTGTTGGGCTTACCCCTAGGTAAATGAGAGTCAAAAAGATGTTTTTGCACCTCTTTGTTATTGTGAATCTGATTTTTTTTTTTGTAATTAGTGGTATTGGTGAGGCTGAAGGACCTGATCGTATATTTGTTGGGGGTTTACCGTACTACTTTACTGAGGTACAGATAAGAGAGCTGCTAGAATCCTTTGGGTATGTAGTTTTATAATTTTATGATTTTTTTTTTAAAATATTTTACAAAATGAAAGTTTAAGGAATTTTATTGATTCAGAACGTTGCGTGGGTTTGATCTTGTGAAGGATAGAGATACTGGAAACTCTAAAGGATATGGTTTATGTGTCTATGAGGTAATTATCACCCTTTTTTTCTTTAAATTAAACAATATTAATCTATAAATATTCTCAGTTTTTAAACATTTTTGCACCTTGTCCCAAGTTAAGTTAAAAAAGGGTGTTATTGTCAGTTATTCTTTCTTCAAATAAATATAAAATATTTGGGAGTTATTTTCAGGATCAAGCAGCCACAGACGTTGCCTGTGCTGCACTTAATGGCTTAAAAATGGCGGATAAAACACTCACAGTCAGACATGCAACCATAAGGTTTTTATTTAAAATATCCTTTATTATTATTATTATTATTATTATTATTATTATTGTTATTATTATTATTATTATTATTATTATTATTATTATTATTATTATTATTAATTTAGATTTTTGTCAATCCATGTGGGTTTATTATTATGAACAAGTTAATGATAAATTTGATGTTTTTGGTGCTCTTTATTTTACTGCAGCGGGCAGATGAAATCTGAACAGGAGACCATTATGGTCCAGGCTTAGCAACATATAGCTATGCAGGTACTACAGAGTTTATTATTATTATTAATTATTATTATTATTATTATTATTTATGTACTTTCAATGCTTTGAAACTTCATGTTTTTATTTGTCAAAATGGCCTTACAAGTTGGAGGGTTTAATCTTCCCGGATTACCTAGATTACCTGATGAGATTCCAACTAAAGTTTTGTGTTTAACTGAGGTACCTTATGTTTTTTCTTTTTTAAAAAGAAAAAACGTAAATGATGCTTAAATAATATTTTTGAGAAAATATTAGGAGTTGGTTAATGTGGAAAACCTCATTTTGAGAAAATATGATATTTTTGAATAATTTTGGTAAAAGCAAGCATGGTTTTTTTTGTGCAATGAAGGTGATCAATGTTGATAAATTGATGGGTGATGGAGAATATGAAGAAATATTAGAGGATATGAGGGAAGAAGGACGGAAATTTGGTAAAAAAATACTAGAATCCTTTTCTATAATTTATGGAACATTTTATTCACTTCAGGGTTTTTTGAGGGCAGTGAGAGTAATTCTTGTCCAGATTTGGGTGAAGGTCTAGATAGTGGTCTGAATAGTGCATGTCTCAAAGTGTGTATTCCAATATCAAGTTAATCTACTCGTATTAATTCATGTCTCAAAGTGTGTATTCCAATATCAGGTATCATGATTTGTGTATTTACAAAATTTTGAAAAAGGGTCTTGTCCAATGCTTTAGCTGTGTTTGCTCTTAAGGAGATCAACTTATCAAAAGTAAGTTATTATTTTCACCCTTTTATTTAATATTTTTGTGATTGAATGAAAGTAATTGACAACCCTTTTTCTGTAAATGATGTTGTGATTGTTGGAGAGGTGTTGTGTTTTTATATGTTGCTAGGTAACCTTTTCAACAACAACATTCTACTTAAGCAGGTGAGTAATCAAGATTAAGGGAGACTTGTAATCATGTTTGGCATTTCATTCCAATAAGAAACAGAGTTGTATGATTATTTATTACTTTTATAGGAATGTATACCACATGTTATCAATGTATTATTTTTGTTTAACATTTGAATGATTCATTATATTATGCAATGGATTGTATTTCTTGTATATTGTATTTTATTTCTATTATAAGAAATTAAACGCAAATTTAATTTAAAAACTAATAAATATATAAATTTATTTTTTTTAAACATTAAAATTTACGATACGCAAAAATGTGTGTCATCTTCATTTATCACATGGCATTTCTTGACAAGGGCTTTCTTGATACGCATTGCGTGTCATTAACACGCGCGTCGTAAGGTTACGAAACGCGAATGTGTGTCGTCTTCCTCTATGATAGGGCCTTCCTTGATACGCATTGCGTGTCGTAAACGTGCGTCGTAATTGTGCATCGTAAATGAGCGTCGTAAATGCGGGTCATCTATAGACGACGCGCAAAAGGGCGCCGTCTCTCTTTATGACAGGGCCTTCCTTGACGCGAATTTGCGCGTCGTCTGAGCCTTTTACGACCCGCAATGAGCGTCGTAAAAGGTTGTTTTTCTAGTAGTGATCCCAATTTTCAAGACTAAAAATTTCATTTCAGTGTAACGATTTAGAAAATATTTATTAGAAAATATCATCGAGCCACATCATTTCATAAAACCATACTCACATGTTTCAAAACCATATCTTAGAATACTAATAATGTCAGAGTATAATCCGAAGAATCTCAAAATGTGGAAATCTTGTGTGTGTGTGTGATGCGCTGCTACCGTGTCGGCTCCTTCCCCTTTGATGAAGAGGTACCTAAAAGCAAAACTGAAACACAGTAAGCACCATACTTAGCGAGTTCCCCCATCATACCACATACCATACATAACACATACTGCATAACATAACTGGGTACTAACTACCCCTTCGATCCTGTTAACCGGTACCTAGCCTAGTATATTCGGGTGTTGCCTCCCCTTCGGTCCTATCGATCGGTACCTTGACTAGCATATCAGGGTGCTGGCCTACCTCTTCGGTCCTTTCGATTAGTAACCTTTCCTAGAATATCCAGGTGTTGGCCTACCCATTTAGTCCTTTCAACCGATACTGGGAACTATTTCACCCCCTACTCTACCACATAGCATCATAGTGCATAAATATACATGTCTTATACCGCGTAACTTATCTTGGTGCTGGCATAAGCCATCGGCCCTATTAACCAGTACCAGGGTCTATCCTACCCCTTTCTATCACATACCAGATAACATCATAATACTAGCATATAAACATAACAGATAACAATATACCAGATAATTATCACAAAGACAATTACCTATACTATAAATCTTTCTAGTCGGTCGGCCTTGGTGCCTTCGACCCACTTTTATTGGAACAGAACTCACCTCAATGTCGTGAAGTGTATGAACTTTAATCGATGTTGGGATCAAATCCTCTCAACTCCTAAAAATAACAACCTTCCTTAATTACATTTCATACTCTTAACCCTTCCAAGGGTCAACTCAGGTCAAAGTCATAATCAAAGTCAACACCCTGGTCAAAGTCAACTTTTGGTCGAAGCCAACATCTAGTTGACTCAACTCGTCGAGTTGGTCCACCAACTCATCGAGTACCATAATCCTTAAAGTGTTGGACATTGATCCTACACGTAGAGTCTTTTAAGAACTCGTCGAGTTCTTCTTCATATAGAATTGGGACCTTTTGCTGATGACTCGCCGAGATCATCCTTAAACTCATCGAGTCCTTCTTCATACAAGTTGAAGTGTATAGTCCTTGACTCGCCGATTTCATCCTTGAACTCATCGATTTCCTGTTCATATATTTAGGACATTTCCTTGAACTTTCCAAGGTCATCCTTTAACTCGTCGAATTCTTCGATCTTCAAGTCCATATTCACGTCCATCTTGTTGAGTCCTCTTCTAGATTCAATCAGATCGATCAGAAACATAAAAGGTTTGTCAACTATAACCTGACTCACTGAGTCCCATGAACGACTCATCGAGTCCCCCAAAGTTCATGTCCATATAATTGATTTATGTCAGGATTAATGCATCCAGAACATAAATCTAACCTCCTAAGGTCCATATTGCACATAAACTCCCATGGCCATAAAGTTGGCACCTTTATGCCATGGGAACCTTTAAAGTTTCAAGATCTGAATGTACAACCCCCAAGAAGGGTACAATCCCAAAATGGCTTCACTATGAATTAGAATGGTAGAAACTAGCCCTAACTAGAGATCTGAGAGGTAAATGGTCAAGTTTGAAACATTTTACCCCAAACAAGCTGGAAATGTGACAAAACCTCAAGATCTAATTGCTTTCTCTTGATCTCCCAAGCCTCCTCTTTCTTGTCAAACTTCAAGGACAAACATAAATAGACCAAAGGCTCAAGAACACTCAATAGTCATTTAGGGTTTTGTGAAGCGAGTCTGAGCATGGTAAACGCTGGATTGGAGACCCTAAAGGTTGTTTAAATAGGGTGTAAACCCTCAACTTAGGTTTTCATCCAGATAGGCCTACTCGTCGAGTTGAGGCCTCCAACTCGGTGAGTAGATTCTTCCACATGTGTCCAAACCTTGCCTCGACTCGATGAGTTGGGGCCTCCAACTCGTCCACCATTATAAAAGTGCAAGAATTCATATTTAAATTATGTACTAGGAACTGGGCGCTACAAATGCTTGATTTGTCTTCACGACTAGATGTCATTGGTCAGGGCGCTTGTTGTAGTTAGTGGTTCTTTCGGGAATTCTAATGTATAGATTGAAACACTTTTGGGTCACTCAAGTTAATAATTGGCTGTTGAGGGATTTTTCAGCTTCTTGTATAGATTAATATCTAAAGTCTAGGCTGAGGAGTTGTTGATTTGTAAATCCGCTTCATGGATGAGCATGTTTAGTTCCACATCAGTAGTTAACTGGATCATGCATTAGTTGTCAATGCATTCTCGATCGTTGGTCATTTCGTTCAACATCAATAGTTGAGGTCCTTTGAAAGTTTCAAGCTTTATTAGTTGAAGTTCAACAGATGTGTCAGCCTATTGTCTGAAATTTTTTCATTATACATTTGAGTTCTGGGTTTGGATACCCTATAATGTTTGTTATGGAAGTATTGTTCATAGTGGGATTAGGTTTGGGAGATTTCCTTGGTTATTATAAGTTTGGATGTTCACGCATGGTTGTTTAGTGTTTTTAGCTTTGGGTTTTGGATCTGTGTAGAATCCAATTTTGGCATGTCATGACTGCAGGGTTGGTAGCTGGTTTGACCCGACCGATGGCTTTGCAAGTTTTCTCAGGCTATTTGTGTATTGGTTGGATCTGTTCAATTTCAATCAAGGTGTAGAATCTTAATCTTCAGCCAGATATGGGGATGTTTTTGTTAGCGGTTGAGTTTCATCACTTTGGTTAGAACTATTGATACCACACCCAGTGGATAAGGGTTGTGAGGAGGAAGGATTTTTGTAGGTCTAGGTTTGGTTATGTGTTTTCCGTTGGGGATATTTATGGGTTAAATAAGTAAGCCTATGATCTCTTGTACAAGTTATTAGTATGGTTTTTTAACTGGTTGGTAGCTCTTAAATTGGAACATTAGTGCAATCACCTATCTCATTCTCTAGTTTTGTGCGACCGTGTCTTCATGTAACATCCCAAAATTCAAGGCCAAAATTTTTGTTTTTATATAGACTATAACATAAAAACCATCAATATAAAGATGTTCATAATGAGATCCCATGTCACGATCAATATGTCAATAATCCAAAACATGTCACCATAAAAACCATTTTGTCCAAAAGTAAAATAATTCAGAGTAGACTTCCAGGAAATTCCATGTGGAAAACATTTGTGTGTGTGTGATGTGCTGCTACACCGCTGGCTCCTTCCCCTTAAAGAAAGAGGTACTTGAAACAAAAACTTAAACTGTAAGCACGAGGCTTAGCGAGTTCCCCCACCATACACATAGCAAATAGTCATCAATATCATTCAACCGGGAACCAGGAGCTACCCTCCCCTTCGGTATCTTTCAACT